CCTTATTATACAGCTTTGTCTCACTGTGGATGAGCATGCTGGGGACCATATCTGGAGAAAATGGAGTGGGAACCTGAGAAGTGACAACAGGTGGAAGCAGACTGCAGGAAGAGGATAGGGAGGTCTTAGAATCCTGAGGAATGGATGTCAAGAAGGGGAAAGAGAACACCATTGTTCCAAAAAAGGGATAAGAGCACCAATTGAAGAGTGGAAGAAAACAAGTTGGGAAGATATATGTGGGGAGCTGGGAGTCTCAGATACATGGAATAGAGAAAAAGGGCCTGAGGAATAAGAAATTATGTGGAGCAGTGAACAAAAGGTCGATGGTGAACCAGGTCACTAGGGATGGTAGGAAATGCCCAGTGTTGAAACAGAAAGAGAGGAGTGGCATTGTGGAGAGAAATGTTGGTTTTGACAGGGAAGAAAAGTGAAAGACTGGAAGAGTTTGCTGTTAGGGGTGCATGCAAATTGGATGATGTATATTCATTGCTGTACAAAATAGCACACCAGGGCATTTGCATAAAACCTCCAGCTTTCTGAATTTACAACTTAAGCAGGTATCTCTCCAGAGGTAAAGAAAAGTGAATAAATGATCTGAGGTAATGGCACTGGGGCTTGGACAATAAGAGTTGAAAGCTCAGCCAGAGCCAGCAGCTTATGATTTGCAGATGCTGACAAAAATCTATCATCCTGTGCATAGCTTTAGAGGAAAACATCTGACGAGACCATGAGAGGAAGACATTCTTCAGGAGCACTCGTTCTGCTCCCCAGCTAAAATGTGTCTATTGCAGTAAATTTTTTATGCTTTTTATTTTCAGTGTTGTACTCTATGTTTCATTAGGTTTGAAGAACTATTCAATTCCAATGTTCCCTTGTCCAGTCAGTGTTTTCTCTGTTCATCTGTGGATTTCTCAGTCTTGGTTTGAGCTAAACAGAAGAAATCCTGCTTAGTGATTTTAAATTTCAGCTCAGTCCCTAAATCTCAACACTAGCTACTTAGATCATAAGCATTGCTCCCATTAATGTGAGTTGAACTTCATTTTCTTTTAATATTTCCTTTGAGGACTAAAGCACAAGTTCAAAGTAGGCAGGCTGCATTTTTTCCCACTTGCTATTTTGCAAAAAACCCATAGCTCTTTTGGTGTAAAGAGGTGGTCTGCCTGCACATCTGATTGTGAATTCTATCTTGTTTAGCAAGCTCAGAGCTTCTGCATGCACAAACCCTCTTTTTGTTGAATCTTGCCTATGTGAAGCTGCAATTAGTATAATCTTTCTTTTTTTTTTCATTAAGAGATTCCCTTGTCCATAAATACTCAATCTATTAAAAGTCTACTAACAGATTGATTCTGCGGGAGAAATAATAGTCTTTTCTGGAAAAGTCACAGATGACATTTGCCATATTACACAGAACGTTGGAGTTTGGAAGGGACTTGGGGGGCTATTAAAAGTCTACTAACAGATTGATTCTGCTGGAGAAATAATAGTATTTTCTGGAAAAGTCATAGATGACATTTGCCATATTACACAGAACTTTGGAGTTTGGAAGGGACTTGGGGGATTCCAGTCTCCTTCGTCAAGCAGAGCTGTCTAGAGCAAGCTGCCCAGAATCTTGTCCAGACAGCTTTTGAATGTCTTCAAAGATGGAGACTCCACATTTCTTAGTGGCCTGTTGCTGGACTGTATCCATGTCTCTTTTGTATTGAGGAGTCCAGAACTAGGTACAGCACACTCCAGGTGTGGCCTCACCAGTGCTGAGTAGAGGGGAAGGATCACCTCCCTTGACCTGCTGGTAACACTCCTAAGGCAGCTCAGGTCACTGTTAACATTCTTTGCTTTGTATGGAGGAGTCCAGAACTAGGTACAGCACACTCCAGGTGTGGCCTCACCAGTGCTGAGTAGAGGGGAAGGATCACCTCCCTTGACCTGCTGGTAACACTCCTAAGGCAGCTCAGGTCACTGTTAACATTCTTTGCAGTCAAAGCACATTGCTGACTCACACTCAGCTTGGTGTCTATCAGACCTTTTTGCAAAGCTCCTTCCCAGCCATGCGGCACCCAGCATGTACCTGTGCCTGGGGTTGTTCCTCACCAGGTGCAGGACTTTGCATTTCACCTTGTTGAACTTCAAGAGGTACCTGTCAACCCATCTCTCCAGCTTGTCAGGGTCCCTCTGGATGGGAACACGAGTCTCTGGCACATCAGCCACTCCTCCAAACTGGGGGAAGTGACTGATACAACAAAAGACTGTGCTGCTATTCAATGAGATCTAGACAACTAGAAAGTTGGGTGAAGGTGAACCTCATGAAGTTCAATAAGGACAAGTGTAGAATCCTGCATCTGGGGAGGAATAACATCAGGCACCTGTACAGACTAGGGGACATCCTGCTGGAAAGCAGCCCCATGGAGAAAGACCTTGAAGAACTAGGGAACAGTAAGTTGTCCATGGGACAGCAATGGGCCCTTGTGGCCAAGAGGGCCAATGGGATCCTGGAGTGCATTAAGATAAGTGTGTCCAGCAGGTCTAGGAAGGTTCTCCTCCCCCTCTTCTCTGCCCTGGTGAGACCACACCTGGAATACTGTGTCCAGTTTTGGGCTCCCCAGTTCAAGAGAGACAGGGACCTACTGGAGAGAGCCCAACGGAGAGCTACGAGGATGATTAAGGGACTTGAACATCTTTCCCATGAAGAGAGAAGGAGAGAACTGGGGCTGTTCAGTCTTGAGAAGAGAGGGCTGAGAGGGGATCTGATTAATGTGCATAAATATCTGAGAGGTGAATGTCAAGAGGAATGGGCCAGTCTCTCTTCGGTGGTGCCCAGTAATAGGACAAGGAATAATGAGTGCAAGCTAGAACACTGGAAGTTCCATTTTTAACATGAGGAGAAACTTCTTCACTGTGAGGGTGACAGAGCACTGGAACAGACTGCCCAGAGAGGTTGTGGAGTCTCCTTCACTGGAGACTTTCAAAACCTGCCTGGACGCGTTCCTGTGTGCCCTAGGGGATCCTGCTCTGGCAGAAAAGGTAACTAAGTTTGTGTTTCTTGAAAGAAGGTACTCACAGATAAGTTCTAAAATGAGAAAAGTAAGATCTAAGAGGTTTCCTGGTGTCCTATCAGAAGTTGTTGAATAAATCATTAGGGGCATAAGAGAAGAAAAAAAGGCAAATGATATGTCTTTTATTTTTCATTTATATGGACTGGCAAAGGCAACGCTGGAAAATAGGAATATATACATAGTAATTTTTTTCTTAAGGTCTACACTATTTTATTAGATATTAGAGTTTCTCTTAACATAGTTGTATCTACTTTATTTGTAACTGCAATTTAAAAACCTTTGGATAGTGGTAATTTGCTGTAATTGTTCTACAGATATTTCTACTGCTAAGCACATTTCTGAAGATATGAGAATTGGGTTTTAGATACTCCTAAAACATAAGTGACTGAGGTTAAAACTAGCACAGCTAGTTTTATGTGTCCAAAAGCAGGTAATTGAAATTGCCAGTGACCTGAATACCTTAGTCTTGGTGCTGTGCATCAAGGACTCCCAGCTGGAGATATTTCACTGGCAGCAAAAAGCATTCATATTGGAGCATGGAATTTCTTGTGGCATAAATCCAAAACTTTGGTAACCCAAAAAGCTGTGTATTGTTACTAAACTGAAAGTGCATTTAAACTCCCCCTCCTTTGGTACAACCACTACCACTTTTTAGAACGACTGTTAATAAGATTATGCAGCTACTGCTGATTTAGTCAGCTCAATGACTAAGCATGTTCCATTTTTTCATAATGAAAATACACAGAGATATACATGTTGAGAGTTCTCAGTTGAAAGCAGGGCTAATTGGATTTGGAAATAAACCTGTTATGGCTTCCTCCCTGCTTCCACAGTTTCCTGAATTTTCTGCTGTTACTGCCAGAGTGGAAAGCCGGCATTAGAAAGCCAAAGAGATCAAGATCATTTTATTTTCATAGAAATTTGCAATGATATTTTCCTAATTTTCTAGACTAAAAGCTTGGCTTTTTTGTTTGTTTTTTTTGGGGTTTAAACTGGTTCCTTCTTATCATGGTCTTTTCTAGTAAGTTGCCTCCTGTGGACTGAATCCATATTGAATTTTGTTATTTTTATTGCAATGATTTCTTTCCTGTTTACCTTCTATTTATATATTCCTTTCTTTTCTGCATAGCTTAGTTTCCACTGGACTCATTCTAGCCTCACTTGTTGATACATTTATATTGTAAAATCTATTTGCTTGGGCAAAGAGGTCTCTCATTTGACTGAGCTCTATATTCACGTTCTAAATGTATTTTTTGCTCTTTGTGCAGTTTCTTACTCGTTTCTGATGAACCAATTTATCAGGTAGACATTACTACAGCCTTTGATAGAGAAGTATCTCTAGAGACTATGGTGCAGCAATAGAAGAGCTTGTTAAAAAACAGTTGCTTCAGCATTCTTTCAGGAATTGAAAAATATTGTTTAGACTTTTCATTATATGATATTCTACCATACTATAATTGCTACTATTACTAATACGTTAAATGGATTTGGTAAACATAAGTGTGCCAATTCCTACTGCTGATGGAGAACAGATTTACTTCCGTGATGGCTGTGAGTAAGACCCCTTTGGCAGTGATGGTACACAGTTGCTGAATTAGTTCAGCAAAAAGAAATATTTGTGATCTAAGCATTAACACATGATGATGGAGGGTTAGATTTTATCCTTACTGATGCAGATTTGTTTATACATGTAAGGATGGAGGGAGAATTTGGGGATGGAATTTTGCTGAGGGTGCACTGAAATCACACAAAAACTGTATTTTTCTCAACTCTTGTGATGTATACAAATGTGTGTAGTAGCTGCAGAAGGTAGGATTTTAGAGATATTGTCTATGGTTTATCATACAATTTCAGCTTGCACAGAAAGGAGTGAGTAAACTGAATGTCAGGCATATACCGGTCTTGTTCAGCTTCTGCCATTTCAAACAGCTCTGGTTTTGCCCCCTTTAGACCAACGTTGTGAAGCTGCTTTTGCTACACTGGGCAAATCCCAATCTTCTTAACTGCAATAATGAAAAGCCTTCAGGTAGGTGAAAATCCATGTAAAAGTATGTATGTACGAGTTACTGTGATGGTGTTCTTTTCCTTCTTGTTTTCTTAGTTATACACATAGAGATACACATATATCTATGTATAAATATAGTTTGTATAGTGTGTAGAGTTACATACATGCATGCATGTGCTTATATATGGGTTTTTATATATTGCTGAGAACTGCTAGTCATGACCATGTAGGATATCATGTAGTTATGCTTCTTCCTTTTAAGTTCTTCAGTGCCTTGGATGTAGCTGCATTTACACTTCCTAAGTGACTTCTTACTGAGTTCCTTTCTCTGTCTCAGTTGATGATAGAAAAAAAATTCATCATCCATTTTTGAAGTGTAACACCTGTTGCTTCCCACAGAATAATCATAGAATCATAGAATGGCCTAGGTTGGAAGGGACCTTAGAGATCATCTAATCCAACCTCCCTGCCATGGGGAGGGACACCTCTCAACTAGACCAGGTTGCTCAAGGCCTCAAATAATGCACCTTCTTAGACCAGATAGGAACAGGGAGCTGAAGCACTGGTCGGTAATGCTAGACAGCAGTGCTGGAAAGAAGAAACATGATTATTCAACCTTCCATGCCTAAGATAAAATGAAGAAGGAACCCAGTAATGTCTAAAATATCTGACAGAAAGATTATGAAAAGAAACTTCCTTTGCATAATAAAGCAAGTTATGTTATCCCTCAAATAATGTACCACCTACAAATGCATTCACAAGGAAATTCATGACACTTAACCTTAGAAAAGGTTAGATACAGGCCAGTTTGTGTTTGTATAAAAGGCTATGGATCAAACTGAGATGATCTAACAATACATTTGTTTAACCATGTTTAGTGCGTGTTTAATACAGATGAGTTAACTATTTCTGGTCTGCAAACACAACTGATTTTGGCACATCTCTATGTACAAGATATTTAAATCATTTTTAGAGATGTAGACGGTTTGAAAAAGGTTTAAGTATATGTGTTCATTGAAATACAGAGTTGAAAAGAGTGGTATTGTTTTTCCTGAAGTCCTATGAACTATTGAATAATACTTCAGTTTGCTGAAGAGCGAGAATGATTTTAAGGTTTTGCAAATAACAACTTAATTCTGTACAAAATTTACTTTGCCTTTGTATTCTTAGTACTTTCAAGTATTATTTTATGATCAATGTCTAAGCAATTATTTTCATTTTATCTAGCTGTATGTTTAATCTTAATCTTAATCTTAATCTTAATCTTAATCTTAATCTTAATCTTAATCTTAATCTTATCATTTAGAGATTTGTATTTAAAGGAGCTTGTCTGCACTGTTTCCTTTGTCTAATTTCTTGATGTTCCAATGTCTTAGATGTTGCAGCTTCTGAGTTTATTGAGGAAATGCTTCTGAAGGCTGAGACCGTTTGGGAAGAAAAAATGAAAGACCCTTTAGCTGTTTCTACTTTATCTCAAGAAGAGCCGTATGAAGAGATCATCCATGATCTACCCACAATTTCCAATAAACTGTAAGTGGTTTTGTTTTACAAAAGGTCATATAACTCTAGATTGTGGCCGTATTGCTTTGTGGCCACCTCTCAGAAGAGAACAACGTTCAAAAGCAGACTCAAAAATGATGAACAGACAATTGTGAAGAGCAAGTTCTCTGATAGCAAACCTGATTTTACTGCTTCTAGATTAAATTTTGGTATTGATTTCCGGAAGAACACTATGAAGAAATTAATTGAAGGTCAGTATCTTTACTCAGATAAAAAAAAAAAACAACAAAATATTTAGCAGTCAGTAGGTTTGTGTAATGCTAGGTTATCAAACAGACCTGGTTTCATTTAGTCAAGCGTGGGGTTAATCCACCTGAATTCCTGTTTTTGGGAAGCACTAATTGTATTAGAATATTTTTTCCTTATTCTTCTACCCAGCTACTGAGTACTTTCATCTATCAAATTTAAGAGGAGAGGACTAGGAAGGTAACTGAGGTGGGTTGGTCCCAACTGGCACTCACTGAGCTACCTTACTCACTCTCAAACTCTGCCCCCCCACACCCCCAGCAGGATGGGGAAGAAAATGGAAAGAACTGGACAAAATAGACTCATCTGGGTAATTTAATTTATTAATCAATCAATTAATTAATCAGTTGATATAAATAACTGAGTAGCAGTTTGCATATCGGACAACAAAACCAAACAAGGAAGAAAACATTCATATACTTAGGGAAAACACCTTTCCTCCCCCTTTCTGAAGGTCAGCTTTATTGTAAGCACCTCTGCTCTTCTCCCATGTTATTAATGCTAGTTTTAGTGGAAGTTACACTTAACCCCTTCAGTGAGGTATGAGTGACGCAGAACAGGGCTACAGTTATGTGTCTCTGCCATTCTTTTGTTCTTGCTCTTTTCCTGTGCTTCAACATGGGTCCTCCAAAGACTGCAGTGCCTTTGGGGTACGCCAGCGTAGCTCCTCCAAGGGCCACAGTCCTTTCAGGGAAATACCTGTTCCATCATGGCCCTGTCCATGGGCTGAGGTCCTTCCTGGGGAGTACCTGCTCCAGCATGTCTCCCACATGTGCTACACAGGGAAAGAAGCAAGGAGACAGCAGTAGCAAAAAGAAATAACTAAAGTGCCTTCGAGGGATCTCAGGAAGCACTTCCTCACAGAGAGGGTGATCAGGCATTGGGATGCACTGCCCAGGGAAGTGATGGAGTCACTGTCCCTGGGGGTGTTTAAGGAGAGGCTGAATGTGGCACCTAGTGCTGTGGTCTGGCCAATGTGATGGTGTTGGGTCATAGGCTGGACTTGATGATCTCAGAGGTCTTTTCCAGCCTCAGCAATTCTGTGATGCTGTGATTCTGGGGTGTGACAGTGCCTGCCCTACCATGGAGTACATCCTGCTTCTCTGACCTTGGTGGTCCCTCTTTTATTTCTGAGGTTTTTTGTTCCCTCTTCCTCTCTCCCTGTGGCATTTTTCTGCCCTTTCTTAAACACATTTTCACAGAGGCGCCACCAGTTGGCCAATGGGCTCAGCTGTGTCCTACGGTGAGTCCATTGTAGCTTCTTCCCACAGAGACCCCTGTGCAGCCCCTTTGCTATTAAAACCTTGCAACTTATGTGCAGTGCAGTAATTTACAGGAAATGCACTTTGTTCATTGCATTACATAAATTTTAATAGCATCTCATTATAAGGATTTACCAGTGTGTTTGTGAGGTACTATTAATTAATGCATTGCCATCTTATCTGGGTGGTTCTTACTTTTTTGCAAATGTATTATAATTTGTGAATAAAATGGTGTAACCTGACCCATGAAAATGGGTGGAATAGAGGTCAAAGAGGAAGGTGGTTTCATATTGGGGGTCACATTATCATATAATCAACATTTGTGTTTCCTTTCTATTACCAATAGGAGTTTCTCTGAAGGTTGATCGAGTAAATTAGTTAAGTTTTTTGAAGGTTCACTAGTGCAACAAACCTAAGGTCTATGCTGGAAAGTTTTGCCCATTTTAATTCTAATGGTACAATCAGAACAAATTATATTACTTCACTGGCAAAAAATACCTGCACCAGAATACATTAATTGATGTAGCTTTTGAAAGGTTACTTTATGTTTATGATATGACTGCAATCATCACTACTGCACTTCTAGTTTAGTGCACATACTTGTAGAACTTTTCTTGGTGAAATAGTCCCTGAAAACACAAGTAGCCCAGTCATTTAGGTAGTAATAAATACTAAAAAATTAGGAATTTATTCTCAAAGTAATGGTAACTTAATCACATTATATATTTTCTGATACATATTTAAGTAAATAAAAATTATAGTAACATGTGTTTCAAAGCCAGCAGAAGGATGTGAAGTAAAATATGCATAGATGTATATGAGCCAACAAAGCAGAAAAGAGATTACATTTTTCTTTTTTTACAGAACATCTCCTTTTAATGATTTATGTAACAATCTGCACTTCAGTTATTCTAGTGGCTTCAAACACTCTTCTGTTTAATCTACTCTGAAGTTTCCATTATGTAGCTTAAAAAAAGTTTATTTGGACTAAAAATTCAGAGATTATGCAGTTTAAAGCTTAGAAATTGTTTGGAGAATCTCAGAATTGCCCGTGGAAGAATTACAATAATGGAAGTTCTCTCCAACAAATGCTGTAAGCTCATAGAACCCATAAAGATGTCATTACAGAATTTTCCTTGATATAATTATTTTTATAACAGCTTTCTAACAAGGTAAAGCTGCAGTGATGATTGAGATGTGGATGACAAAACTGCCAATTATTTGTCAGATCCCAGTTTTGTGTATGATTTTTTCTTAAAAAACCAAGAACATGCTAGAGTATGGCAACTTAGAGAAAACCATGCCAGTTTATCTAAAAAAAAAATCCTATACAAAACTTCCAAATAATTCCACATAGGATGGCTTATGCACCTAAAAATTAAAATGGCTATTCATCCCTATAACTTGCCAAGAGCAAGTCCTACCTTGTTCAAATAAGATTACTCTAGATAACTCTCCTTGCTGTCTATTATGCAAGATTATTTTGTCTCCCTTAGTGGTTAATTATCTTATAATTGTCCAGTAATGTATAAAATCCAGACAGTTTGTGGCAGTCCACTTGCCTACATTAATATAAAATCTTCTCTTGCACTGTCTTATAGTTTAGTTTGCAATGATATTCCTTGACTTCATCTTGTGACTGACAGAATGTTGATAGGAATATTTTTCTAAAAAGCCACTCATTTTCTGGAAACATTTTATTTCAGTTTGTTTTATTTTTCATAGTGTCTTCTTGAACTTGAGTCATAATGAACTGTTGGAGTAATTTTAAGGTTTTTTCTGGCTTGTAATCATTCACATTTTTGTGGTACTATGAATTAATGTCAGCATTTCCATCATGTAAAATCCTATTAATACCTCACAAATGAACATAATTTATAGACTATTCTCCTGTACATCAATAGTCAGCTGAGCGTGGCGCTAATAATGCCAAGGCCACGGGTTCGATTTCCGTTCGGTCCCCGTGTGTTGCCTGATCTAGTCGAGAGGTGGTGTGCCTGGCGGCATGGAGGTTGGATTAAATGATCTCTAAGGTCCCTTCCATCCTAGGCCATTCTATGATCTCTATGATCTCTATGATCTCATAGAGTTCAAAATACATCTGTAGAAATTGTAAACACCTTTTTTCCCCATGCTTTGCTGTGATTTACAAGTTCTGTCTTGTGACACCTGAAAAGTTTATTTGGTTGCAAGGAGTTTACAGCTGAATTTTAAGAGGAGTTTGTAGTGTGTGTTGTATAGTTAACACAAAAGTAGTGAGATTAAATGAGTAAGGTTCAGTGTAGCACCAAAAAAATTGCACATCTTCACAATTTAAAAGACACATCATATGAATAATAAAAAGTTATAAATGGCAGTGCATTGTTTTTTAATATTTGAATTAATTTGACTTATGCTTTTCTCTACATCTTTCTTCTCTTTGTCTGTGATTAAGTCTTAATAATTCAGACGAAAGGAATTGGAGCAATTTTGGGCAATAGCAGAAGATTACTAAAAATGAAAACTTTGTATTTAATTACGGGTTTTTTTCAATTCTGAATCTGGGTAAAATGTTAATTAATATCAGTAATTTTTGCTTGTGGATGTCACAGCTATTTGATTTCTTCTGCAGTCTAATCACTGATATATCTTATTCTATGATATCTAATTACCAGGTTCACACATATAGTTGGATAATGTCTGTTCTGTTCTGTAGTCCAAATCAAGAAAAAAAGGCAAAAACAGTTGGCTTCTGGATCTTTTTTACCATGTGACATTTGGGAAATGAATTTATGAAAAAATTATCTTAGGTCAATCAAAGCAGTAAATAGAAATATTTATTTTCACTAGTGTTCCTTCAGACATTTTACATTAAAATATCTGAAGAGAAACATGATTAGAAAGGAAATGGTGTATATTTCATTACAAAATGTTGAAAATAATTCATTCAATGTTTGCAAACTCACAGTTTCATCAAAAGATGGGTATTAGTCAACTATCTTTTATTCAGTGGGAAACTACTTTGGCTTGTTCTCCAATTAATTCTGCTTAGAAGGTGCTTTTCCTCTGCTTAGGTCTTTCCAAAACTATGTCTGTGTTTCAGTTCTGTTTTTACCAACAGTTCTTATTCTTACCCTGAATTGAAATCAGTATTGGCTGTGGGTCCACCTTCATTTCATTTAACTGTGTGTATAATCCTGACTTTATTATAATCATTGATCCAGCTCAAGTAACTAAAAGTAAAAATGAGTTGTTTGTTTGTTTTTTTTTAAACTAAGTGTGACATTTGGGCTTTATCCCATAGTGGAATGTTCCTATATTGAGTCCACATTTTCTTTCAAAGAACTTACATGCGTGTTTTGGCAAGGAGCTGCTGTACACTCCATGAGATTGTCTCATCTGCACTGTCAGAGTCCAGACAATTATTCTTTAAGATATTTATATTCTCAACTCCCGGGGCCGATTCGTTCCTAATTCTTCTGGATGTACGACATTACCAAAATCATCCAAGATTTTGTTGTCGTTTTTCAGAAGCGTGATACGGTCTGAAGTGGTAGTAGGGAAAACATCTCCATATGTGTAAGAATAAGTTTAATATATATGTGAATGAAAACTATTGTGTATCTTTGCAGTAATTTCAGGAGCCTGTTGTTTGCTTGGGCTTCTTTTTAGCATATCACAAATTCAGAGCAGCTTTTGGTTTAAAAATATGTCTTGAACATTGCCTGATTAAAAGCTAGATAAAAAGTAGTGGAATTTAATTTTATTAACCACAATGGCAATATCTGCATTGAATTATTTTAAAATATATTACTTTTCAAAATGGTATTGTTTAGATTAATTGTGTTTTTTAAATTCTGTTTCAAAATTGGCTATGGATTTGCCAGCCTAGTGCTATCAAAAGCACTCATGCCTATTCTCTTTGGCTCACTCAGTTCTGCTTCAGAAAAGATATGAATAAAGGTGAATTTTAAGTCAAAGTATTTTGCTCTGTGTCTTTGGGAACAGACCAGCCTACAGGAACAGTTTATTTCTCATCAGTTTCTGTTTTCTGGATGGAAGAGGAACTCCTCTCTCAACCCTGAATTGTATCTCATTTCTGTGTTTGTTCTATCCACATTGGGCAATCTTTTGTTTGACATCTTCAGGATGAGTCTAATTGCTTTATTGATTCTCCTTGTAGCAATCCTCTGGCTTTACCGATTGCCAAGCAAGACAGTTTGCTGGAGAAAGACACCATGTTTAAAGATGCAGCTAAAGGCTTATGTAAGCAGCAGTCTCAGGATGGTGCAGCTGAAAATGTCACTGTGAACACCACAACCAAACTCGAACAGGTAAACAGCATGCGGTTTGTTGAAATGTTTGTTAGTGCTTAGGTCTGGAGATTGTAGACTTAATGAAGCCAAACACCAGCGTAATTTTTTCTCCCCCACGTCACACCACACAGCGACATCGCTTGCACTGTGGAGCCTTGTCTCCTTGATCGCTTCCTGCAATCGGTCTGGCCCTGCACAGAATTCCCTCTCTGCAAATTGAACAGCTGCTCCCTGCCAGCTGCTGGTGGCGGGTCAGGGGCTGTGACGGTTGGAGGGCTCAGAGTTCCTCAAACTCTATGCTGGGTTCACAACCGGGGAGCAACAACTGCTGCCCGAAGTGTGCTCTTGCCTTCAACTTCAGTTTATGAAGGAAAGAAACCCAACCTGGGAGACTGCAAAAACAAACAAGAATGTCTAAGGAATGTTGAAAGAGTGACTATGTTTTAAAGATAGGGATTGCCAGATTTACAGCTGGAGTGCTAACTCGCTTTCTTGTGCTAATGCACTAGTGTACAGGTACCAATCATCTGGATACTCTTTAAGGTTTTCTCCACAGAATCACAATCTCATTCAGTGCAAAAGGTGAATGCAAAAGGAGGGAATTATCTGTTGCTTGTAAATCTAGCATGTCCGAACTTTGAAGTATAGGACTTAAATATTGTTTGGGTTGTTTTGTTTTTGGAGGGTTTTGGTGTCTTTTTTGGTACAAGAGCACCTTTTTTTTTTTTTTTGGTACAACATATTTTCTGCATGTGCATTTGGGAAACACATTTTACAGAAGTATTTAGTCCTTTAAGAAAAATCTACTTCAAGATTGGAGGCATTGAGGGGAGAATTTCCATTTAAAATAATTTACTGTGAATTTGAAGCATAACAAAGGAGCAAGACCCTCCTATAGTTGTAGGAAAAGAAAGGGAGGCGTTTAACTTAGGGTCTTGCTGGGACTTTTGCTTCCTTCTAGATGTTCAACAGGAGTAGGCACAAGAACATATATACTTCCTTCTGCTTCATTTTGTTTTGGTGAATAACTAGCTAAAATTATCCAGGTTTTCATTATCTCTAGGCTAAGCATTTGCTTTATAGTTTGTGTAGTAAAACATATACAGAAACCTATTGGAGAAGAACAGCTAATCTTCCAGCTGAGAAAGAGCAACCAGAGGTCATCATGCTGGAAGTTTTACTCTCCACCATGATCTAGAGTCACTTCAGGGTCCCAGGACAGATTTTTAAAACCCAGCTCCTTCTACTGTTTCACCATACTTCAGCAGAACTTCCCACAATACTTACAATTCAAAGATAACACAACAGAATTAAAGCTAAGTGTCTTCCAGCTCCATTAGCTGAAAAAATTCTGCTGAAAACACTCTGCAATTCTGCTCTAAATGAGCTAGAAGGAATATGTATTTTATGGCCTTTAAGAAGCAGTAAAAATAACAAACCTTGCCAAGTATCTGCAGTTCTGAAGGAGTGATGCTGCCTTGGAGAAGAATAAGAACAGTCCTGTCTGGGAAATCAGCACTAACAGGAAGAGTGGTTAGAAACTCTGCTATTTCAGTGTGCTTTTAAGTGAATTGTTGCATTAAAAAAAAATTGTAGCTTAACAGATGTTTTCAGTTGGCGAGGGCTTAATGAGCTTTAGCTCTTTTTGGCCACAAAAATTTAATCACTTCAGCAAACAGTTTGATTCTAGTAAACTAAAGAATGCCCATATTTTGTCAAAAGAAAGTCTAGGGTTTTGTTTTTTCCTTAAGTGACATAATTTTGATCCTGGAACTATGAGGATTTTATTCTGTACTAATGGCCATGCATTATGAACTCTAGGTGTGGGTATACGATATCCATACTTTTGTATATAATATATAGATCTTAGGTTTCAGAGATGTTACAAGAAACACATTGTATTTTTGTATTTTTTTATTTTACATCTTGGGAATTAGATTTTTATTTAATGCTGATAACAAAGAAAGGCTTTGAACTGCTCCTTCCCGCTATCCCTACCTCTTGGGTATACTACTTCTAATGAGATTCACTATCTTTTATTCTTACCAGTTGCGTTCCAAACTACACTCAAAGTAATCATGTTCTGTTTAATTTTTCAGTAGGATATGTGGAATCATTACTTGGATTTTATGTTCATATATTATTGAAATAGATCAGCATGATGTTTTGTATGCTTTGTGTCAGAAATATCATACATTCTTAGGCAATATGGCAAGCAGATTAGGCCTTTATTGGGGGATCAGAGAGAAAAAATTCATCTTATTACATCTGAAACATGCATTTTTAATAAAGAGAGCTCGTAACTTTTTTGGCTATGAGAAAACTAACAGCTCAAATTTATATGTAGCTTCAGGGGTTTGTTTAATTGTAAAAATTATGAAAAAGAGATTTAACAAAATATTATTTCTCATGAAGTAAGATTTTTGTTACATGAAGCATAAGAGATGAGGGGCAAATACTATATCAATAAAGGATTTTGAGTCTTTCTTGGCTTGTATTAGCTTTTGCTTTTCTGTAGGTAAATATGTGTTCTTTGATCAACTGTAGTGTCAAGGTCTGTGTTGCCAAACAAAGAAAGCAGTGTGAATAACTTCCAGAATTTTATCACAGTTGGCAATTTCTCTTCTTCTCAGCTGGGAAGGTTACTTTTTTGATAGCAGATTGAAATTACTGGCCTGGAATTATGTGCTTCATGATACAAACAAGTATAAATTAAATCCTGTCTTTTTCTTAATTGGGTCTTCTTAAAAAAATATTTTGTCTCTGTCTTATAATTCTTGTTTACATATTGATGGCCATATGAACTGTGTGATAAGAGAATTCCCTGATGCCCTTTTCATTGTTCTAGTATCACTTACCATACGCACAAGGGGCAACTGTGTATATCACAGTATTACACGTAAGAGCTAGAACATGTACTTATTTCAGTGACACAAGTATTTAAAAAAATAAAAATAATTTGAGATTGTTATATGAGCAGATTGGGAATGCTGTTAAGTATATGTAATTGGAATGAATAAATTGGAATTTTCATTGTTAGCATTACAAAAGTCTCAAAAACTAATAACTTCCAGAGGCGTAATTATATTGGAACTTACACTGTATAATGGCTATTTTTGTGTCTTAAAAAATATGCAACATGCAGTCAGTATGACAGCCAGATACCTGCATTGAGGTGAAAAAATAGAAAAAATCATGTGCATGCTCAGAAAAGTAGATGAGAAGAAAAGAATTTGAAGATATTAATAATAAAGAATTTGAAGATATTAATAATGTAAATAATGTTTACTCTCAAGTCAAATCAGTTGCAATTTTAAGGCATTTAGTGTTTCTTATTTCTATGTGATTTATTTGCTTGTTGAGCTGTGAATTTTCATGCAAAGAGTCTGTAATAAAATGCTGAATCAGGAAATCCTAAACTTCATAGAAAAAAAATGGTTGATGGAAAAAGATTTTTATTTCCTTACTTGGAATTTAACTGAGCACTTCACACTTCTACCCACTGATCTATAGAGTCAGCATCCTTGGCTATACCTAGATTATGAAATAAAAACAAGCCAGGACCTGTTCTCTGGATCAGTGCACATCCATAAGAAAAAGCTCTTTTGTTCCCCAAAACGTGAGGCCATGCCCAAACTGCCTCTGGGAAGTAACCTTTGACATCTGAGCTGAATGATACCCAGGTATTATCTACATGAGTGCTAACTGGCATGGGCCAGCACACAAGGAAGTGTGCTAACAGTTCAGAAAATACAGAGAAACAGAGAGCAGCTCAAATCTGAACCCTTCTTTTATTTACAAATTAAGACATTTGTCTCTAGCCTAGCATAGTTTTAGTCTTTGTAGAGATAGATTAAGAAAAGCTCATTCAGTGTCACAGGTGTTTTGACTTTTGACAGCGCACAAGGGAGTATAGTGAAGAGCTGTGCCTGCTTTCTTCTCGCAATGAGTCAGACGAGCAGACTAACAAGGGAAGGAGGCCGCAGTCTTCTGTCTTTTATCTGCTTTCCCTCTACAAGACACTTTAAAAAGTTCTTGGAAGTATTTTGTTCATTTTGTTCTATTCCAATGTGATTCATCAAAAACAAAAGTCAAAATGTAATTTATGGGGTTTTTTTCCAAGTAGAATTCTTGTTTTCTAGTCAGGCTTACATCCAACTGCCATGATTAAAAACAAAAAGAGCAAGAAATGCCATCTTCCATGTGACAGAAAGATCTGCATTCACTTTAATGCAGCAAGAAATAAACCTCTAGAACAGGTAGACAGAAAAGCACAGGCAGATATGGCAGGCAACCTGTGTGTGTTTGTCTTGTTTGAAACTCACATTCTGAAAATGCAAATATTTTAAGAAAAAATATTTTAAATAGACAATAAAAAGAAGAATAATCACAGTAACACTCTGATAGACTCCACCATTTTAGAGTGCACCTCTTCTGAAAAAAATGAGTCAGTGAGATAAGGACTGTGCGAATGTACATCGTAAAAATTTCAGCTGGCCTATTTCACAGTTTGGATGTTGGAGTAAGTACATTTTACGTGTAAAAAACAATAATTCCATTAGCTAAGTTTAGTAAATAATCTCCTTGAGATACTTACACTTTTGCAGTTGTACATTTAATACTTTTTGGGCTTAGAGAAATGAGAGGTGGTTTTTTACAGTTTTTATGGAGAAAGAAGGAAATAGAAAGCATCATTAAAGAGTAATTGAGCACTACTGCCTTCTTGTCCTTCTACCTCTATAGAACCATAGAATCTTCTAGGTTGTAAAAGACCTTTAAGATTGAGTCTAATCGTTAACCCAGCAATGCAAGGTCCACTACTAAACCATATCCTTAAGTATCACATCTACACATCTTTTAAACACCTCCAGGGATGATGACTCCACCACTTCACTGACCAGCCTGTTACAGTGCTTGAAAACCTTTTTGGTTAAATAATTTTTCCAAATACCTAGTGCATCTGGGGATATTGTTGTCAGGTACACTTTCCTTCAATTTTTTATGGGTTGCTACTTTATCTCTCTATTTCAACATCTGTTGCAGATGGAAGGCAAATTAGATGCCTGCCTTTCCTCTTTCAGTGTGCGAGTGGAAAAACATTGAAAAATCTCTTGCTAATATTCATGTTGTTACATACATGTGAGGTTTACGTGTACCATAGTTGTCATCATTTATTGCCTGTTGGTAGACTTCATAAAAAAAAGAGACAGCTTTCTGTGAGGAGTTTACCTGTTTCCTCATATACTTGTTTTAAGCGTCATCTACTGAATTTATTTGTCTTTAGAGGAGTAGTAAGGGAATTATTAAAGACTGAAGTGGAGGTCCTCAATTTTCTCCAATCACTGTATCAGTCCCAAAATGGAAGTTTTTTGAAGTCCCCAATATTACCAAAAAGTCTCCAGGACAGAGCCATTACAATAAACAAAAATATTAGTTACAGCACTTGAAGTAGAGAAAAGATGAGAAGCGTGCCCTTCATAGGTAAAAGGTACTGCAGACTCAATGGAAGCTGGAGCCTTGCAAGCCCTGCTTACATATACCTGTGAGGAGCTATGGCTTCATACATAGAATCGTTTTGTTTGGAAAAGACCTTTAAGGTCAGAGTCCAGCTGTTAACCTAGCACTGTCAAGTCCACTGCTAGACCATGTCTCTGAGCACCACATCCACACGTCTTTTAAATACCTCCAGGCTTGGTGACTCAACCAATTCTCTAGGCAGCCTGTTCAAATGCTTCACAACCCTTTTGGTGAAGAATTCTTTCCTAATACCCAAACTAAACCTCCCCAGGTGCAAGTTGAGACTGTTTCCTCTTGTCCTATCACTTGTTACTTGGGAGAAGAGACCAACACCCTCCTTTCAGGTAGGTGTAGAGAGCAAGAAGGTCTGCCCTCATCCTCCTTTTCTCCAGGCTAAACAACACCAGTTACATCTAGACCCTTCACCAGCTTAATTTAGTTTATTACATGCTATGTAATTCTTCTTAGGATTAATTTTGCAGTTCCCTGAGCTTGTCTGTCATTATTCGGTACTGGTTTTAGATGCAGACAGAAGTAGTTTGAGTTGGGCAAGTGACTGAAAGCCAAGTATAATATTTATATGACAGTTTGCTTGGGCTGTAAGCAGCTGTATAATATTAGGATGGCTAAGGCTATAACAAAGCTTGGAAGCTAGGAAGAATGTTCATAGTGGCATAGCATGAGTCAAATGTGCACTAAGTACAGATAAAAGGAGTTTTCTCTCGTGATTTGTACTAATGTGAGAGCAGTCATCTTCTGACAAACACCTTGGACCCATAAGAATATTCAGTGAAAAATGAAGTGTGAAGCTGATATTCCATGCTTTATATTTGTACTTCTTTTTGTAGGCTAGATACTGTTTCAAGATTTTGTAACTTTATTTGTATCACGAAAGCATTTGAATATGAGTAAAGCTAGTGAAAAATTTAAACAGAACATAACAAGATTTTTCTTTATGTCATAAGGGCTAGCTGTTCTGTGGTTATGATATCTGGTGTTCATTTTTTGTTTCCTCTTGTTAGAATAAGAAATATCATCTGTTTTATGACTGTTGATTGAATATTTTAATGCTGATATTCAGTGCTCCTATTTTTAGAAGAAAAATGTTGATAGATTAAAGATGTATGATTTTGAGAAGATACAAAATCACATGTGCTTGTTTATGACCAAAAACTTCCTAGTGTTTGCTCATGGTCACCTAAATATTGCATGTGAATGAGTTTTTTGTGTGTGTTTCAGGAATCTTGAAACACTGAAATGAAGAGAGATTGTTAGTCTTATTTCATTAAGACTAAATTCTTCAGCAATATCACACAGTGCAGCTCTCACAAATATAGGAGGAGAACCCAGAGAATCGTGATTTTTAAACTAGACCTTGACTCTGTGGAAACAGTTCAGTAGTTTGGGATCAGATCCCCAGTGTTAAACACCAATATCCACAGTTCTTGACAGAAGCACGCGTTGCGTTCCCTCCAAAATCTCCCAGTCTGCTCACTGCTTCTGTCACTGACTGCCTGCCAGAGGCTGAGGATGACGAGTTGTTCTCCAAGAAAGCGCAGTGTCTACTTTTATCTCTTGAGCAGAGCAGTGCAACAAAGAAGTTTCATCTTCATTGTCCATCCTTAAAACAGACACTGAGAGAATATTTTAGTAAACTCTGAATAAACAATACAAATAATTCTACCATTGTTCACATGAAAGCATTCCCTTTCTAGGTATCCTGCTAACATGCAAAAATGTTTTTCTTCAGGTGATGTAAACAGGAATGAACCTACATTTTAAGTGTAGATCCTAATTTACAAGAACACTGCTTAATGTATCTGTTTATTTTGTCTTTAATCAAATATCCATTATTACTGATTCTTTTTTTATTCTGTCTTGTACTCTGTCTTTTGGATCTGTTTGGGGTTTTTTTTGTTGTTGTTGTTTCCTTAACATTCACTATGTGTTGCAGAGCTTATACTATTCCTCCTAAATCTCAAAAATGTTAAACTGATTTCATTCACCAGTTTTGGCTAATGTAACTGCTTCTGAATCTCTTCTAGTCTCCTTGATGACATGTTTCCCACTTCCTACTAACTTATTTCTATTCTGCAGGAAAAATCCTGACAGAATGATGAAGAGTAGTATGAGAACTTCGTTAAATACTGGACAATAAACAGTTTACAACTGCACTAACAGTTATAGCCTTAATTTCTTCTGCCACAAACACTTAAATGAAGGGAGCAGGATAATTGCATTTGAGCTAGTGGGTAGCAAATTTGAGCAGGGGTAGCAAATGGCACTCTGGTAGGGGTCTGTGTTCTTAAGACACCATCAGACACATGCAATTATACACCTTAATATTGATAATAATTTTTTATATTCTTTTGCATATGATTAATTATGTGTAATTATTTGTGAGGAGTGGCAACTTTCCAGTTTCTTCATGATTTTTTTTCGCCATAAATTCTTGTGATCTATGTTTATACTTTAGGCTAGAACATTGCAGTATCAATCATTGCTTGTGGAGTTAGTTTATTTCTCTAATTTCTGTTTTCTAGATCAAGCTAATGCCTCCAGCTCCAAATGATGACCTGGCTTCTCTGAGTGAGCTAACAGACAGCAGCCTGCTTTACGAGATTCAGAAGCGTTTCAATAACAATCAGATATATGTGAGTTGCTATTCACCTGTCAGTAGTAAGCATTCAAAAAAGAACAAATGAGAGAATAGGAAAAATAGGATTGCTATTGTAACTACTGGACAGTAACCTGCCCTGGACTCATGACTAATATTTAAATACATCAGGACATATATATGTGTAAGCCCTGCGATTTCTCAAGTTCCTGTGGGAAAAGCAGAAATAATAACTGGAATAGATTGCCCAGAGAGGTTGTCAATGCTCCCTCCTTGGAGATGTTCAAGGCCAGGTTGGATGAGGCCTTGAGCAACCTAATGTAGTTGAGAGGCATCCTTGCACGTGGCAGGGAGGTTGGATTAGATGATCTCTAAGGCCCCTTCCAACTTAAGACATTTTGTCATTCTATGATTCTATGGTTCTACACTGTTTAGACTACAGGTGCGTGGGGAATTGGCATGTTGCTGTGAATACCTTTGAAATTCTAGTAACTTCAATTCCAGGTGTTAGGGCATCCAGTGATAATAAAAATTCTGGTTTTTTACAATTATGGGTCAAATCCTATTTTGCGTATTTGTTTTGCTTTATCTCACTTTCAGAGATGCCAGACACAGATAACTAACTGAATTCAGAAGAATCCATGCAAAAAGAAAGTTGTCCTTCATTTTGAAAAATTGAAGATTTCACCTGAGATAATCTTATACTATGCTCTGACATTCTCCTTAGCTTAAGGGAAATTTGTAGGCAGTGACTCTTAGTATTCTGCTCAAGAGCAGCCATTGTACTTTGGCAGAGTGCCACCATCAATGCTGAAAATGTTTTTATCTTTGAGTGATTTGGTTCTCAGGCTTAAAAGGAAAAGTCCTTGGACCCCAATTCCAAACCAAAAATCCTCCCTAGCACTGCACGCTTCCAATTTCGTGTTTCATGAAGCTTAACAAAGTTTCATTCTGCAGGAAAACTGAACAGTGAACTCAAGGTGGGGGAGAGAGTGGAAATAAATTACTGCATTTCAAAAGAAAAATAGTATATTTACCATGAAAGGCAATGTTTTCTGCTCCACTAAATCAAAATACTTCATTCTGAAAAAAACTAGCATGGCTGAGCCTGTTCACATGATGGTTTGCTGTCTGATCTCTTCAGAGACAGAGCTCTGGCATTTTTGCATGCCGAGAGCATAATACAGCAGCAGCTACTTCTGTGGAGTGAGAGGTGTAGCAGCAAGAGTGACCTACAATCTTATATCTAAGTATATGTTTCACATATGAGTGTTTAAATATTGATTAATATAATCTTGGAACCTTTGCAATCAGTGTATGGTTTACTAATTTTAGTATAGCCAGGATTTTTTTTCTCTGTGCATATGGGTATGTTCATATACACATACACATGCATTAATACTTATATATGTACTTATTGTTCTGTCTGATCCTACAAGCAACATATTTTAATGTATCTGTTCTGGGTAATCAATATAGCATTTTTAAATTATGTCATCTGTCCCACAAAAAATTGCTTGAGGAACTTGTTTATGTGGTAGGCATGTTACATAATTGTAGGTTAACAAACAGTAAATTAAAAATTGGCTTTCAAATAATCTACCAATAATATATGCAGTGTAATTCTTCTATGCATGGTTTGCGTTAGGAAGAACTCAGTTATATTACAAAAGGAATAATTAATGCTGTCTGAATTGTAAATTTATATCTCATTTTAAAGTTAGGAAGTTGAAAGCTCTCAATTCACCAATTACATTTAATATGTTGATAGCTAGATTTAAGAGGCTTTTCCAAAAGTCCTTTCTGGAAGAAAACTATTAGCCTTTTCAAAGATTTAATTTATTATTTAATAAAGCAATTATATCTTCTTTTTTCAGACCTACATTGGTGATATACTGTTGCTTGTTAACCCATTTAAAGAACTTCCTATTTATTCTACCATGGTAAGCATTGTCTCTTTAAAATGTTACAGTGTAGATCTTTTTGTTATTTTCTCATTGATGCGCTGAGATCACATAACTGAACAGAGATCAGGCTGCCTTTTGTGTTCAGGTGTGTTCACATATGTTTATTTAGCTTACAAGAATTACAGAGGGTTCCGAATTTGATAAACAAGTTATAATCTGTTGCTAAGTCGTGGCTTTGTGTGTAGTAGTATGTTTGAAAAGGAGAAATGCTGTGACATTCAGTGGCAGGAGCAGCAGATTCCAAGTTGGGAGTCTAAATTTAGTTTCCAGAAATGGAAATCATCCATCATACCCAAGGTTTTATATTATGATATTTTTTCCTGTCACTGTGTATTTTACATTAGATTTGTGATTTTGTGCACCAGGAAAGAACTGTAAAGAAAAATAATTTAGGTGGTAGGCTTACATATTTAAATGCTTCCTGAATATTTGAACTCCCTGTGATAGATCTCTTTTAGAAAGTTTAGTGTGAGACACTTATTGCCCTATAATTTCTGGAGTCACCTTGGTTATTTGTTGCTTTTACTCCATCGTTATCATCAGCATGGTGTTGTGCATTAGGCAGATATTTCCCAGCTGATCAAGAAAACATGTAAAATAGCTTTGTTTTCTCTGGTTTTGAAATGATGGAATATGCTGCAGCATCTTAGCTGGTATTATGCTGAAGCTTAAGAGTTAGATAGACTGTACATTAAAGTAATAAAAATTAATGATGTCATTTGCACAGTAGACACTGACATGCTCTGTGATGTGGCTCATTAGTTAGCATTTTTGTTTCATGTATGTGGTTGGTTAGCTGTTCAAAGAAAGGAAGATGTATTGGTCAAGATACTATTTTTAAAACCAGGATGAAGCAGTGAAAATATTATCACAATCTTATCTAAATCATATTCTGTATTTTCTTTATTATATTGATTTATTGTGAAAGAACAGAATTGTAGATATTAGCAGACTACCTAATTTTTCTAGAATCTGTTTGATATTAGCTGAACAAACACCAGGATATTCTCAGAAAAAAATTGAGACTTCAGTGGCAGAAAATTGGTTCTACTCATACTTAAGCTTTAAGGAAAGTGCATGTTCCCAGCTTTATGTATCGCAGAAGTTATTCTATATTGCAGAGATATTGTTTGTGGGAGACTGCTCTGCCATGGAACAAATGAATTAGTTCATAACTTAAGCCTTTGGTTTCAATTTTAACTTTTCATAGGATGGTCATACTTTGTTTTGTAAGATTTTTAAGTGAAGACATTGAAGAACTATAAACATGAGATATAAAAAAGTAACTTAGCAGGTTTTGTTTTCCTCAGTGCACAGACCAGTATTGTTGAGCCCTCTAGTTACATTTAATTTTATGTCTTGATTAGATCTTCTATGATTACAGCTTTGTTTTATTTAAATAAAATCTTTATAGATACTGTAATGGTACTGTTTATATACATACAGAGATTCTACACATAATGCTTAGAGAGCTTTATGAAAGACTCCAGGTTAGGGAGGTGAAACATAATTAGTTTCAAATGTATTGACCATGTTACTCTTCTATAATTTTTCAGGTCACCCAACTTTATTTAAGTAACTCTGGAAAACTGTGTTCCTCTCTTCCTCCCCACATCTTTTCCTGTGCTGAAAGAGCTTACCATATGCTATTCCAGGAGCAGCGTCCCCAGTGCTTTATCCTCAGGTGAAAATTTATCTTTCTGTTAACTAATTTGTAACTCCTGCCTTTCAGCTGTTCCCCTCCAACTGATTTCTTTCTGTGTACTGATCTCTGCATCATACATTAGAGCAAAATAGAACTGAAAAAGGTTTAATTACATCTCAAGCTCGTATATTCTCTTGAGGAATTGCCACTCTGTCTATCTGCATCTAATTAGGAACAAAGAGTTAATGGTAAAGAAGTCAGAACTGCTCTATGTGTTTGCTGATACTATGTAGATCAGGATTAGAAATATAATCTAATGACAAGAAAAAGAGGAAGTCCTTGATTAAATTATAAAGCTCTGAGTTGGGGCATCTGTATTGTAGCTTCCACTCTGTCTCACGTGTTTGTATGGTCCTGAGTTTATTATTTAGCTCTCCAACTTCAGAAAGGACTTTAACCAGTTCCCTCAATCACAGTGTTTTTGCAAGGACAAATGTATTAGAAATCTCCAGTGAAACAGACTTTTGTCCAAATATGCCAGTTTTATCATGGTGAAACTTTGAATGCACTTGCAAGTTTTGATCCCAAAATCTGTTAATCCCTTTTCTTCCTTCACCTTAACTGAAAGCAATGAATTTGGTAAAAGAGTTTGCAGACCTTCATGGGAGATAGGGGGAAAAAAAGATTGATTTTGATTTGACCAGAAATAAAAGCTGATCCATTTGATAAATCTTATAATTGCCCTTGAATCGTCTCTAATTATAAGCAAATTGAATACATTGAATAGTATGAAATGGAGAGCATATGATACTTAAAAGCAGCTAGTAATGCTGGTTTAGAGTTACAAGAGTTAAAACGAGTGCATAAATGCAATCATATGTATCCATTTATATTGCATTCTGTTTATGTAGCTATAGACTTCTGTGAGTGTTTGAAGTTCTGTATATTAAGTTTTCAAATACATCCAAGTATTATAATTAAATGGTTCTTTCTCATGGGTTAGGACTTGGCCAGCCACTAAAATGTGGACAGATGCTCTCTAACGCCCTCTTTCCCCTCCCAAACAAGAAGGAGAAGGAAATGAGGCAGAGACTTACAAGTTAGAGAAGGAAAACTAGAACAGCTTTAATGAAACAGTAATGGAAGTAATAGTGAAATTATAAAAATAAAGAACTATATACAACTATATATAAGTCCGATATCAAACCTGACTCTTCTCCCGATAGCAATCCCCACTGGTGCTGCAGAGCAGGAGTTACTGGGGAAGCCCCAAGCACAGCGGCGGCAGGAGCTGGATACAGGGAGCTGGATACAGGGAACTCAGGATCTGGATCAAAAGCAGGAGGTCAGATGGAGTCCTCCCTGGACACCAGCCATTGCAGAAGAGGAAAATAGAAACTCTTGTGATCACTCAATTTATACCAAATATAACGTATATGGGATGGAATACTCTCATTGGTCACCTGTCCTGCCTATTACCCCCCAGAGGTGCAACCTTTTACTTCCTTGTGACGCCCCTTTACTACCTGGCACCCCCAGCGTGGCACACAAGAGCCAGCAGTGGCCTTGGTCACTGTAGGAATAAGTATCAGCAAGAGCCTTTCTGCATCCCAGTCCCAGGCAGTAACTGTAAACATCAGGTGTTATCACTGCCAGTAGCACACATTGTCTGCAGAAACATTCAGAAAGTGCAGCCTCTGAGAAAAGACTGCGCTGGAAAGTAAAAATCAATGACCAGGACATTCTTATAAAAGTATACTTTTTTTAAAAAGTGTAGTTTAGAACTTCCTAAATTATAAATAATAAATTAATTATGTGTAGAACTGACCGTTGATTGGTTTAAATAAATGATAACCTTTTTATAACCAAATCAGAATGGAATAGTTATTTATCCGGTGAGCAGTGACATTTAAGGAGAGGTACAAGAAGTATTAGGAAATCATTAGTGTGCATTCATATTATCTTCTCATATATTTTAACCCATGTTTAGTTATAATAATTTTGATAGAAATAAGAAATATCCTAAGACACTGTTTTTAGCATTTTATTCAGAGTAGAAATTTGAGACAATGTTCATTGATTAATACCTTTGTGAGGTTATCTGTAAGTGTAGACGGGGAAGAGGCAGAAAATATTTACTGACACTTCAAGAAAAAGGCTAACTGCCAAGTTTTAAGTGTTGTTTAGTGGTACATGAAGAATTCTGCACCTAATAATGTCTTTGGTATCAGGGAATAGTTGCTACCAGTGATTTCGTATCAGGGTGTCAAGGCATATGTTAAGCCCCTGTCTTGATCCGTGCCCAGCCCATTGTAGCGTATTTTATATGAGTGACCTGAGAGGGAGAGCGTGACATGAGAGTGCTCTGTTGATAGCATCAGCACTTGGCAAGACATTTGCATATCCCATCGAGGCAACCCGTAGATATGCTGTCCGAAAGTACCCTTCATATGGATAATTAATTAGTTCTAAAGGTCACTTGTGAAAATGGGAACTGGAAGGAAAGGATATGGTAATTTGAAGTGGGAGGTAAGTATAGCTGCAACTCAACCAAAACAGCTAGGCACAGTTATTTGTAACTCTTCTGCTAGCACTGAGAAGGGATTTGAGATCTTTCAGAAGTTCATGAAGAGCTGTTAAAAATGGGATATTTTCCTTATATTAATCCACTGGTAGAATCTAAATAATGTCTGGAAAGTAAAGGTGATACAGGAAATTTCCAGTAGCATAACAATAATAATAATAGTAGTCTCCATCATCAACTGAAAAATATCCATGATGTAACTCCAGTTATTCATCTACGCCCCTTGCAGTCACCTCATCGTGTGTGTGTGTGTGCATGAACTTGTGGGTGTGTTGAAAATGGATTTCTGCTTTCTTTCTATTTCCTCTGTGAAACAACATTAGCTATCAGCCAGAGGAAGTTTTGGTAGTTCTAGACAAAACAGTTCCTAGAATCCCAGTGCTATGGTTACTGCGGCTGTAATATTTGAATGGCTGGCCTGAGACACTGGCCAAGTCAGAGCTCTTACAACGAGGAGTATCAGAATGCTACGTAGGAAAATAGCCACACCAAACTGAAAGGGTGTTAGTTTTGTTTGTTATTAGTAGTAAAACCAGTGAAAGTGTATTATTGCTGTGGATATGCATGAATCTCACGAATTCCCTTGGCCTACGAGCACTCTTGGAATTGCACGCCGAAAGTACACTTTTGTTTTCTGTTGTCATCATTAGCAAGTGAAACATGATGCAATTATAGAATAAACCCCTCAAATCTGTAAGTCTAATTTACTTTTAATGACAATAATATTTCATAGTGTAATTTGACAGTATAATTTATAAACATAATTATGCTTTAGTTTTATTGTAAAGATTTTCCATGAGAAGAGACTACTGTTTTGATGTGCGTGTTATGATTTGATGTGAGATTTAGTCCCATACCAGTATTTTACTTTTCATCTGCAATTCTCAGAATATATCAAGTTTAACTATTAACTGTCAGAGAAGTATATATAGCTCTCATCTGAATTCTTCCTGAAAAGTTCTCATTTGTTATAAGCAGTAGCTTCTTTAGAGAAGACTCTGATTTTCACTACATCAAGCTACCCACTAGAAATGAACCAGAAAATGTACCTGTATTCCTGTTAATCCTGTCATCTTCATCAGGCTTTGCAGGTTGTTTATTTTGTGGAGATACACTTTTATTTTCTATCAGCAATGCTTTTCAGATATATTTTTTTTCTCCTGAAGATTAATTACAGAAAGATACTTCTCATGAGCTTAGTGGTCATTACTAATGATTCATTAATTATTTTTTTATTGGACACTTACTATTGGAATGAATTCTGCACGCAGCATAGCCCTTAATGATACTGTTTTTCTTAGTCTAGTCATTTTTACCTCCCACATTTTCCCAAGAAATGATAAAAAGGTGAAGACACCTGAAGCTGGAATTTAGCTCCCTACACCCAAAGTCTTGAAACCATTGCTAAATTATGAGACTCTACTTTCTGACCTTAATATGCTACTTCAACTTTCAGCCCATGTGTGTGTTCAGGAGAGATTCACTGTTTCTGGCAGGGCAGATTCTTAGAACATTATTTCTTTCATGCTTAAACCTGATGGGAATCCAGGATTTTGACATTTCTGTACCCAGCCTGCTTAGAACATACTTTCTCAGAGTATTGCGAATTCTCATCAGTGAGACCAGAATCTTTATAGATTAGACATTCATCAATGAGTAGTTGTGCTTATTGTATATGCTGCTGGTCATAGCTATTATACTTTTCTTTTTCTCTTATGCAACTTTCATCTGTTCGTTTTTTTGTTTTCTTGTGTGTTTTTTTTTTAACTAATCTTCTTTAGCTGCTTGTCTCTAGCAGTATGTTTAGAGTAGAGGCTCTTCGAACAGATCATTTCTATATTGTATCCTTAGCCAGATACGGTTGCAGTCTCCTGACTTCACAGAAATGATTTTGACAGTGATAGCGATTAAATATATGGAAGCAGAGAGTCCACCCTTTCCTTTGGGAGCAGACAACACAGATTTGGCAGTGAGTGTTCCTGTGATCACAGGGAAAGGTTTTGTAGCTGCAGATCTGCTGTGGCTTCCCCCTGAGCACAAAAATCAAGCTAGTAAAAAGTCATCACTTCTGTCATGAGTAAGGCTGTTCTCAGAGTGCCACTCTATTGCTTGCAGAAACAGCCTGGGCTTGTGCCAGAGGAAAAAAAAATCTTCCTTTTGTAGAGTCATCACCTAACATTTACCTTTCTGTGCCTAAAGACACTATAGGAATGGAATTGCCGAACTTTTTTTGCTGTACATGAGGGGTTTTTTTGTCTATTGTTAATTGGACTTCTCTAACGTATCGGCTCTCTGCTTTATCTTCTTCCTTTGCTTCGTGCAGGATGATGGCTCTCCCCAAGCAGCAAAGCAGACAACGTAAAAAAAAATAATACTTTTTTGTCTTGTAAAATGAATCAACCAGTACATAAATTATTATACAAAGGTATCAATGACAAAGTGCTTCAATAACAAG